ATGACTTACAAAAATGTCTTTCTAGGTACACTTCTGGGCTGTGTTTACAACCAATCAGGGCTGTCTATACTTAATTGTTCATGTACTGTTTATGTAATGATTATAAAAGTCGACTCAAAAAGTGTCTAAACCCCCATCTACAAAAAATGTAGGCTGTACCGAAGAGGGCTGCAGAAGTGTCATCGTAGCAAGTCAAAGCTCATATGGATGCTCAGTGGCCATCCATATGAACTGCTTTCCTGTTGTTTTCGTGACCTTTCTATTTGATTAAAAATCAGAATTCCATATACGCAAAGTCATAAATCAGCAACTATAGAATTATTATCCATACACCTTATCTCTGCTCCAACAGCCTGCAATAAACAGAGAATCTTCACCTCCCATGTAATGCAATCAGAGAATGAATGGAGGAAATGGTGTTATGAAACAATGTTTGTTTTGTGTTGGCCTATGCCAGCCAGGGCTCCTAATATCATACATTTCCTCATGCATTCCAAAGCAAAGAAAGAAGACTCCATATACGGGAGCATATAAGGGATCAGGCCTGGACTGTGCTTGTATCGCTGTTTGTAATGTATGTTTATAAATTCATATGTATTATTGGTAAATGCTTTTTTTTTTTAAGAGACCGGCAGGTTTTCCAGTTTCCTTTTATGTTGTTGAACCTAACCTTAGTACAAAGGTCAGAATAGTTGATAGTGGATAGATTGATTTCAATATTTAAAACACAAAGGTTACAACCCCCGCAAATGGGTTTACTGTAGTTGCATCATAAGGAAGTGTTGAAATATACGCACAGTATTAAAACAAATAAGGGCTTGTGACGATGTTCTTACTATAAGATGACTTTTATAAGGCTTGGCCCTGTGGCTTAAACAATGCCGCAGCTAATTTATGGATTTCTTTTGGGCTAACAAGGTTCATACTGCTAGTGACCAATGTCTGTAGGCTGTGAATGGCTGTGTGTATATGTGCATGGGGTGCATGAGAGAGAACGGTAGCTAACGTTGAGAGCAGTTTAAGCCGGCTGTCATGTTGAAGCGTGAGTTGTTAAAACACTGTTTATGTTCTGTTGTGGTCGGTGTGGCTGATAATAAAGACCCCAACTTTCCTGTTTCTGTTTAACTCTGCTGAGGACAAGCATAAAGTGAAGGGCGTTAGCCCCAGAGCTAATGTTAGCATCAGCCCTGGAGCAGATCACTCAGTCTGCCCTGTGCATTCCAACTAGGGGCCCCGGGTCGCCGAAGCAGGAAAGAGCTAACGTGAAACCAGTCATGTTACAGGCACTGTTCTGAAAAAAAAAAACATTTATTTAATAAAAGTGAAAAAAAAATGTTACATGTTACAACATTGACACCTACAGCTTATAGAGAAGTGCGGGCTCTATATTTATTATGATTTTTTTTTTTTAATTTAGTAGGTGCGGCTTATATTCAGGTGCGCTCAAAAGTCAGGAAATTATGGTAAATTTTTTTTGAGCCAAATATAACAATGATTATGGGCCCACATCTACTGTAGTATTCAGAATATGGGCCACCATCTATTTTTTTTGATCCAAATATAATAATGATTATGGGCCCACATCTAGTATTCAGAATATGGGCCACCATCTACAATCAATGCTGCCTATTCATCTGCCAAAGTCACGAGCCACAATTGTCCTAAAATTGAACAAATGCTTTTATCATTTTCTACGCCCTCTATTGGGGGAAATGTGGGTATTGCAGATTGGGTCATATAGACACTTTCAGCATTCGATTATATATTGTTTTATTACAAAATACAATTCATTAACCAGCAAGTGCAGTCATGCAACATACAACACTGATATGTCTCAAAAGGTCCAACAGCCATAACAGTAGTAAACAAACCAAAAACGTAATCATAAAGACATTAACAACGGCAATGCATCATGACCTTATTTGGATGACCCCCACTAAATCTCTATTTCTCACTTTAAGCATTCTAAACTTGCATTAAATTTACTAAGAGTAAAGAACACAAAACAGGCACAAATTCCCATGAAGTCATATTTTCTAGCACAAAACTACTTCTCAAAAAACACAGAACAGACTATTACTATGACTATACATTACGATCCCAAAACAACACCATTCATTCCGTGCCCCTATAATGCAAATGGGCACATTAAGAAGCTATTCCCTATTTGGCAGTCAAAACAGACGTTCACTCTGTTATTGTAAGCACTCAGCCTCTGCTTTCTTTACATGTAAACAACAGTGCAGCAGGTAAGGAGAAAAACCATGTGTTTACCTGATTCAACTGCAGGAGTTCATTGTAAACATTTACATTTGTGCAACTGGGTTGCCTAAGGCCAAAGATTTACAAAGGCAGATTAAATGTAATGAAACCAGAAGGAAATTCTTTGTCAGTCGCTACAGTGTAGTTCAAAATATTGAAAAAATGTCATATTAAATAATATATATACAAACCGTTATTAAACAAAGCGGTCCACAATTTAAAACTAAAATTAGAAGGAAGAAGAAGGATAAGGAATAGATACAAGTAAAATGCTTAGTGACCCCAAAATACATTAGCCATTAGACAATTGCGGAAGTGTACTGTAGCTATTATAAACCAAACAAGAATTTTTTTCATGTCTTTTTCTTTCTTTTTTTTTTTTTTTTAAACTTTGTCTCCCTTCAAATGTTTTTCGATTTAGTACACATAGTTTTAAGGCCCTTTTTAACCAAAAGGACACTAAACATTTACTGTTGATATCAGAGATATCAAACATATGGCTGATGGGCCAAAACCGGCCCGCTTGACGAATTTTGTGAAAGTGAAAAAAAAAAAACAACGCACAAACACTTCATGGTGATGATATTTTGTCAAATTATATTGTATTAAATATGAATCTTTTGTAATATACTTGTACTTATATGCAGGGGGGAAAAAAAGAAGGGAAAAACATGGTTGTTTATACGTAATTGTGTTATGTCGAAACCGGTCCACTTGACATCTAATCTAGGCTATATTTAGGCCCCCCGAACCGAGATGAGTTTGACACCACGATCCAGATAAAAGCACCTTCGTAGGAGGATTCAGTCTGAACACAGACCCCAGAGAATCTACACGCTAAATTAAGCGGGAATGATCAGCTCTTGCATTAATAATTCATAAATTGGCATGTAATGTACCGCACGGCATCAGAGATTCCCTCTTTTCCTTCATGAATATTCTACAATGTTTATAGGTAGATACACTGTGGGCTGGTCTCTTGTAAATCATAGGAAATAATGTTTTTTTTCCGCAAATGATGTGTCCGTGCTATAAGCATTTCCCATCTTTGCCAGTATTACGATGGTACTTTCATCATTAAAGAAATAGGTGATCATTAAGAAATAGGTGTTTGAGGAGTTTCCATGAATGCAGTGTTTCTTAAATTATTATTATTATTATTTAATTTTATTATTATTATTATTATTATTATTATTAATTATTATTCTTATTCTTATTATTATTATTATTAATATTATTTATTATTATTATTATTATTAAGATTATTATTATTTTTATTATTATTATTATTATTATTATTATTATTATTTATTATTATTATTATTATTATTATTATTATTCATGCTTGAACGATGAACAAGCATCCAGTCACTAGATGGCAGCAGAGCAGACTTTAATAATAATTTATTTTGATAATCACCGGATTGGATGCAGAAATGCTAGTTGCACTCATACTCATACGTTTTATTCTCTGCTTTAAAGGTGGCACATTGTGCCATTTTAATGCAAATTAGCATGGCTCCTCGTCTGAGCCAGTGTATGAAATGTCAGCGGTTGAGCGGTTGGGTGAGTGAGAAATGGCTCGCTGTTGCACGCAAGCCAACTTATTTGCAGTAAAATGCAGCTCAGCTTTTGACATGGCATGAATTGAGTGTTTTTTTATCATGTGTGCATATAGCAAGTAAATTAGCATGTGTAATTCTGGCAGATATGGAAAACAAGTGACACCTTCCTCACCTCCTGTGTTGTTATAGTTGACCCATTTCTAGGATCTCGAGTATTATCCCGGGGAAAAACAGTGTAAGCAGGCACAGTAATTCTTGTTACGTGTCCATCCAGTTTGTTTTGTACCTTGCTACCAAGAGTGAGTTTCCAGATCCAGGGCTGGTTTATGAAAATGAAGTCTCCAGATCCAGATCCAAGTTGGTACGGCCTCAGTTAATCATGCAAATACTTTTTTTTTTTTTTTTTTGAGTTAATCATGCAAATACATTTTTTTTAAAAAACCCTTCCTTTTTAAAGCCGAATGTACTCCCAGTACGCAATGCTTGCCTACAGTGTCACATGTTGAACGCGGGTGGCCTGTAGTAGCTCAGGGGCCTCTTCATGTTCGATTTTTTCCTGTTCTCCTTGGTGATCGGAATCAGGACCACACCCACTACGAAAACCATCAAGCCAATCGACAGCAGGGCCGGGCCCAGGATGTTGGTGACCTTTCTGCAGTGGCCTGCAAAGTATAGACCGCTAATGACAATGCCACAGGCCAGGAAGCTTCCCCCAGTTGACATTAGGTGGATGGGAAACCAGAAGACCTCACACTTCCCACGGGAGGCCTCAGTAGTCCATAACGACTCACTGCGGGAAAGACTGAATACGGTGCTTTCCGTACGACTTGGTGGTGTCAACTGCTCTTTGGACTGGGAAAGTGTGCACTCTCCGAGAGGAATGTTTTCCGGGCTGGCTGGCATGACTTAAGTAGGAAACAGAGATCGGAAACAAACAGCTTAAGAGACAAACCGAAAGATGTTTTTTTCGCTTCAGAATATTCTGAATTCTCAAAGACTCCAGAAAAAGATGCAACAAGGTATGCAGGAAGAAAAATACAATTTTGCCAAGAACTGGCTAGATCAGGCATGGGCAAACTTTTTGACGGGTCGTAAAATTTGACAGGGGGGCTGGGTCAGGAGCAGATAGATAAAGGATTCGTACGAATTAAGACAAAAGACAAATGCTAAAATGCTTTTAGCCTTTTCTACGCCATCAAATGGGGAAATGCAGGCACTGCAGGGAAAAGGCAGAAGTATAACGACAGAAATCAAGAACATAATTTAGACAAGAATGGCGGGCCCGATTCAAAAGCCAAATGTGCCACATCTGGCCCCTGGGCCGTAGTTTGCCCATGCCTGAGCTGAACAGTTCCCTTACTATTCATTTTAATGAATTTAAAATATAAAATTTGGCATATATATATCGGAAATATAAGATAGTTCATAATGCTTAGGGATAAGAAAAAGAAAGTAATAAGTGTAAAAGAATACATTTCCAATACTTACAGTTCTTACATTTATAAATACAATATATATATATATATATGTTTA